GGGTGGCTTCTCAAGGGGATTAGAGAAATTTGTAAGGATAAAGCTCTCAGTGGTTGTGGATCATAACACCAACATATCCCCATCACTCTCAGAGGCAGTCTGTCACTTGCAGGAAAGCACTGACAGGTGTTCTGCACTCATCTCCTCGTGGGCTTCCCATGAGCACCTGCTCGTCCACTGTGGGAGCAGAATCCCAGACTAACCGAGACTTTTTCCCATTCAGTGGGGACTCCCTTCTTCTAGGGCTTGGGAAGTAGATTCTGTGGCTGAGCCCTGGCTCGGATCAAGGCCTGCTGCTCCACTGAACGCAGACAGGTGCTTGCAAATGAGTTCCACAGATGTACTCACTGTACTTGCTCACTCCAACAGTAGGGCATGGAGCCTGCTGTGGGTTGTTGCTTTATAAACTGGGCTTTTGGGGGCAGCATCAGGAAAGGACAGAGGGTGCACTAAGGATGTTAAGGAACCGCATGGTAGACATGAGGGCCTGTGGGATAGTGGAACCGATTGTCCTGGCAGCTTGTGGGTTCTCCTTTGCGGAAGGCATTTCAGCATAGGCTGGATGGCCATCGGCCAGGGATGCTGCAGCAGAGCCTACACTAACCAAGAAGCTGGGCTAGATCATCTCTGAGAACCTATCCATTTCCGGGCTTCTATGAATTCAGTGAGAAGTGTTGCCAGAGACTGCTGATTAAATATGCTAGCTTCACTGCAGCATCAGCATGTAGCCACCTTGGGAAAAAAATCAATGAATAATTTTTATTGAAAAACTTAAACAAAAGAAAAAAGAGGGGGAGATTGAAGCTACATGGTAACAGGCTGCAATCCTAGTACTTAATCCTTACAACACAACATATAATGTGATGTGTCTAATGTGGAGAGATGTATTTGATAGCAGCAGTTGATGTTACAACACTGCAGGGTGGTTTCCCAAAGCCCTGGAATTTGTGGTGAAAAACCATCAGCTCCTGAATACGCACTGAAGCTGGGGAATGCCCAGCCCCATCAGGGCCAGACACTGCCAGTGCTGACGGGTGCAGCACCAGCAGCGCTGAGCACCCACACTGGCAATGACGACGTGGCTGGTGGCAGGGCCGCTCGGCAGCAACCTTCCTCAACCTACAGCCCTGGAAATGGGTTAGGTTACAACGCTCACCATCCCCAGCCATCAGGTGTCTTGGCTAGGAACAATGGGAGTTGCAGTACTACGCATCTGGAGAGTGAGTTTTGGAAAGGCTGCTCCACTGAACAAAGCAAGCTGAGTGAGTGTGTGGTGAGCCTTATCAGGGTAAATGGGCTCCCGCTTGAAACCTGAAATAAAACCAACCACGAGCAATCCTAAAAGGATCAAACATCACTGGAGCTGTAAAAGCTGACAGTGTGATGCATGCCCTTGATCGCTGTCATCCTATCAAAGCTCATGAAAAATTGACTAGGGTTAGAGGATTCATCACAGCAGAGAAACTAACTGGCAAAATGCAGCAAAAAAAGTGAGATGATCTCAGAGATTTCCTCATCTTAAAAATGCATTAAGCCTCTTTGGCTGGCTTTTTTCACGTGTGCGTATGAGTGTGTGCACACACGTGTGCGCGTGTTTTTGTTATGCATATTGACTTCTGCCAGCATTATAAAGAAAGGCTGTGGCTGTAATTTCAAATACATTTGTTGAAGTTTGCAGCTGCACTGGGGATAAGCAGATGATGCATCTGCACCATTTGGGAGCTAGAGGTCTAATGGGGCAGGAAACAGGCGGCCAGCCTCAGCCGTCCTCGGCCAGGCACAGGATGGTGCAGGGCAACCGAGGGCCGGCACGGCTCTGCGGGTGGCCAAGGGCCCTCAAGCAGCTGCCCTGGCCTGTGAGGCAGAGCCTGCCGCACGCGCTAAGTCAGGTGGATCAGGCACACGTGAGCGATGTAAAAACCTTGCGGCTCTGCATGCGCCATTCTTATTATGGAGCACTGAGGCCCTTAAAAAGCACGTCTGCATATGCCATTCCAGTGATGGAGAACTGGGGCCTTAGAACACGGATGGGCATTCAATTTCGGAAAAGCCGGGTGGGGAGCGTGTTCCAGTGGTGGTCAGAGCTGAAGGCGAAAAGGGGTGGAGCCCAAAGTACCAATGTAGCTTATACGTAATTCTTACTATTAACTAAAGCTTGGGAGAGGCATCTCAACCTTCTAGAAGTGTGTGTGGCAGGGACTGCAGTAAACCAGGGAAACATCAGGGGGTAGGAGGCATGACCATGTGAGGAGTTCTGGAGAGGTGGAGTCGGCCCTCAGCTCTGACATTCTCCACTCCTTCCTTACCAGGATGGGCAATAGGCAGAAGTGCCTTTTGCACAGATGGGGCCTGGATTAGCAGCTCAGAGCTTTCCGGAGAATAGAGTTCTCCTGCAACTGTGTGCCAGGAGCATAGCCTTACCAGTGGTAAAGTGTGTGCTTTGCATAGATACAGCCTCTGTCCATCCCTCCCCGTCTCCAGCAAAAGGATTTCAGGCAGCAAGTTTGGAAAGGCCTCCGTGTGAGACTGCGAAATGCCTCTCGCTAGTCCGAGTCAACAGTGGTGTGCCAGTTGGACCAATACGCCACTTTCTTCTATAGTAGGTATGAACATGGACTGTTAATGGCATTGTTTGCATTAGGGATAGTGAGGCTAATGAGAGAGAGGGGAATCGTCCCCCCTCCCAGTCATTATTCTTGCCCTCCTCTAAATGGGTAATCCAATAAGAGTAACACAGAGTATACTTGGTTTAATGTGAAAGATCTTTTCCCCTTTCTGGCGAGATCCATTGAAAGCAAAGCTGAGATCCTACTGGGTGGAAACACACAGAGCAGAAAGGCCCATTGTTCTATTGTCTCCCTTTGTGGCTGATTTTTCTTCTCCCAGCCTTTCCTACAAAATGGGATTGCCATCAGAGAGTAACAAGTCAGTCAGTTCCTGCTTGAACGTGAGGTGTACAGCACAGAAAATGAATGCCTAGTCCTCAGTGGAAGAAATCGTGTTTTTCCATCTCCATTCTCCCCCCAGCCACCCCCACATCTATTGCCGTAGTCCTATATCTGGCATTTGTACATTCCTGCACCTGTTGTAAAGGAGGTGGCAAATGCCTTCCCACACTCCAAAGGAGCGACTGTATAATTAAGACATGCCAAATGGGGATCTTCTCCCACTTTATATTTCTAATACAGACAACACCTTCTTCCCATACACTAAGCTAATCTCCTGGCGTGTGTGCACCTGAGCCGTAATGTCACCTGTGCAAAAACAGCAGCAATAATTTTGCGGTGAACTTCATGCCTTCTTCCTTTTCCACCACGGCTCACTGTCACTTGCTGCTTTGAAATCTCACTTTATTTAGGGGCACTTTAGGCTGTTATGCAAGAAGAGCTTGAGGCAGCCTTCTTCAAGTGAGTGCTTGCCAGCTTTGTTGGGCTACAATTCCCATCATCCCCTGCCATCACAACCATCACTAGCCAGGGGTGGCTGCAGCAAACATCAAGCAGAATCTTTACCCAAGCCCAAATAAAACAGCTTTACACTGTGACTGTGAAAGGTTTAGATCTGAAGGTTTACTATGCTCCCGGGGAAAGGAGTTCTGTAATGGGAGAGATCTGCCATGAATCGTCTGCTTATATGCCATTGATGGACAACACAGTCAAGTGGGGGCACTCAGAAAGGCTTTGATACATCAGAAGAACGTAAAAGTAAAATATAGATGTAAAGTTTCTGAACATTGTTTCTTCTGCTATCTTCAGTGTGACTACCCCTGGGAAATTATTCAAGCAACCCATCATCACCCAAAGGATAATATCCTGCCAGGAAAAATCTGTGAATTCCAACTTTATCTGAAGAGACAGCAGGTTGTTCTTATGATATCAGCTGGTTCTTTCCACTGGGACCCCCGCAATTTCTGATATATTTCACACTTAACTCACCAGCTCTTTATTACTGTCTGTTGTGGCCACATTGTACCTTCTAGCACATCAACTTCTCACTGAAGAAGGCAATCTTGCTAGGAAAGTCGGAGGCAGAAGAAACAAAGACCAAATATGAGATGGATTGACTCCATAGCGGCCTTAAATTTTCAAGAAGTGAGCAGAGCTGTCACAGGCAGGACATTCTGGAGAGTTTTCATTCATAGGGTCGCGATAAGTAAGAGACAACTTGACAGCTCGGCAACAAAAACATTAACTTCTGGGTAGGTACACAAACACGGAGATAGCGCCATGTCATCTCCTTCAATCTTCTGGCAGTAGGAATCCAGGCACTCTTGTAGAATGGGCCCCTTGTACTGGTTAACTCTGAGCTGGCCCACCACAACAGCAGCAACAGAGCTGCCTCTGCAGACACTCTGGAAGCTTTGGATAGATGCAAAAGCTTCAGATGGTGCAAAATTTGGCTGCCTGGTTGCAACTGGAAAGCAGCTGCACTTTTGTACTTGCACTCGGTCTCAGCACATTCCAGCAGCCATTTCAAATCACTAGTGTTAACCTTTACATCCCTAAACTGTTTGGGAGTGTGTTGCCAAAAGGACCACTTTCATTTATATTTTTTTCCCCATAAAATCATATCTGCATCAAGAGTCTATTGGTAAAATTGGTTAGGCTGATGAGCCCAAGAAACAGGGCCTTCTTAGCTGTGGCCCATTATGGAACTCGATTTGTGCTAAGCCCCTGCAGCTGGTACTATGTGCCATAAAGTTGTCTCAAACTTATGGTGACCTTATGAAGGAAAGCTCTCCATTGTCCTTTCCATGACAATCCTGCTCAACTGAGGCGCCGGCTGAGCCCCTTCAGTTACAGGTCTTTAAGAAGGCCTCAAATATTTCTCTTCACTGCTGCCTATCCTTGAGGAAGTGATTGGCGTACATGTGTCCTAGCACTTTTTCTCCTTATCACCTCTTATAGGTGTGTGTGTATCTGATGCCTCTATTTATTTCTTGCAGCATCTCCCTTTGAATGTCACCCTGTACCCTTCTAAATAGACAGGAAAAATAATGGTTACTTCAGACATATTCAGGCCTTTATTGATATCTATAGATGCATTCAGTGTCGATAAAGGAAGCAAATTTGTGAGGGATGAGCAGGCAGCAGCCCATTGGTGTGAATTTCTGTATGGCTCTGTGTATAGTGGAAGTCTGTCTGTCCATGTAAGAAACAGGTCTAGGGTCAATTTTTAGGAAGCTCAAAGCAAAGGAACAACAATGCAGGACCGTGAGAGCGGTTTTCCCAGAGATTCATCTACTCAGAGAGATTCTGCACTCTTAAGACCACTGTCTGCCTCTCTCACCCTTGGCTGCTCAAGAGCCAGGGGCCCGAGCATCTCTTCTACAAAACCGTGAGGGAGAGATGGCACCCAGGGGCAGCAATTCAGTCTTTTTCAGGTGCCCAGAAAGCAGTAGGGGCATATTTGTAGCTGCTGAGCCACTTTGAGTGCTTTCTTCTCCTTTCCCCTGACTACCCACAGTATATCAGCTGGGAAACACTCTCTTGTGGTTTGGATGGTTTGGTATGTCTGTACGCATGTCTTAGGTTCTTTGGCAGTGCTGCGTATTTTTTATGTGCCTGACAGTGCAATCCTATTTATGTCTACTCAGAGGTGGTAAGAAGTACATTAAGTGGGACATATTCCCTGCTGTATTTAGGACTGCAGCTTGTCTCTGCTGGGGGTTTGTGGCAGCCCTGGAGAGTGAGAAGGAACCTGCACATTCCCTCTGCTGAGAGCAGGGCTAGCAAACCTCAGACCCACAGACTAAAACTGGCCCACCTGGGGTCCCACACCTGCCACACCTCCTCCCCCTAACTTCAGCCACTGTACCCAACTGCCAATCATTTTGTTTGACCCCAAGACTGTCTCTGAAATTGAAACTGCACACCCTGCCTTCTGGGATCAAGCTATTCCCAGGGGCCAATGGAGCCGGGCGGATCCAAAATCAAGCAGGGCGGTGCATCCACTCTGGATTTCAGTCGGAATTTGAAAGGTGCTGAACCCTAGCCCAAAACCAGGCTCAGTACCATGGGTAGCTCCTTAATAGCCCAGATTGGAACCTGGATTGTGACTCTGCTCCACAGACATTGGAGCCACCAGCGCCATCTGCTAAGAGCTCACAGGCCAAAGAGCCCGCAAAGTGCTGGTACGAAACTCTGGGCCTAGTTCTTCCCTTCTGCCCATCTGGTCATGGCCCATCCAGAGCTGAGTCCACCATTAGGCAGAGTGAGGCAACCACTGCAGGCAGCAGCCACCGGGGCAGGGTAGGGCATCAGCGCCTTACTGTGCCCCTCGCGTCTCCTGCACGAGCCTGTGGCCCCCAGACGCAGCTGCCAGGCCAGCGGATGCCCTGTGTGGGGTGGGCAGGGGTGGCCGCCTTGCCTCAGGAAGCAAGTGCCCTGGGACAGTTCTGTCAGAGGAGCCCTTGAGGCCACAGATTACCGGATGCGACGCAGCCAGAGCCAGGGCACGTCTGCCTTTGGCAACGGCCCCTGTCCCCCTGAGTGGTCCATTTCTCGTTCCTGGAGCTGCTACCATTTGGAACGGTTGAAAATTTTCGGAGCCAGTAAAATGGCCAGACCCAGGATCCGACATGGGGAGCCAGCGGCCACCGATGATGGATGAGAGGAGGGGAAAATAGCATCTCTGCACCAAGGCTTTTTTGAGCAGGATGTTAGGAAACTGGTCCCACTATGGAAGTGCGGAGTGTGGGGACACAGCCTACCAGAGGTTTTTGCAGAAAGTCATGGGACACAAGCCCCAACTTGGGTCACTGGAATACCTGCTCTCTGTGAAAAGCCTTAGTGGTATCTGGAGATGGCAGGACCTGGCACATTTGGGCCAGAACACTGCACAACGCCCTGCTCTGGGGGGTTTCGGGGACAGGACACACAGCAGTGTAGTGGGGAAGAGACCCACATGAGGCTCAGGCTAACCTCGGCCCTTCCCAAAGGCTGGGTTTCCCCCACCAATGCGTCCCAGGCCTTCTCTTCTTCCCGCAGAAGGGAACTTGTGCAGGCCTTCCTGTGCTTGGCAGGCACTACAGGGAGGGATGTTAGCTGCTTGGGTCACATGGGGCACTTGCTCACTTACTATTTAGGCTTGGCAGTCCTATATATAAGGGAGCACATGTGATTGGCTACTCAAGCACAATTCTTGGCACAATATAAACATTAAACGGAAGAGGCAATACTTGTGGGTCTGAGTGTGGGGAATTGGCCAGTGCCCTGGAACGGCAGGCCTCAGCTTTCATCTTCCACCTCTGATCGGTTTTGGCATCGGCGACTGGAAGGTCTCATCCTTTGGGGACAGGGGACTTTGTGGGGGATCAGTATCGCACCCGGCATGGAAACGATTGCGGTTTCAGTGAGGAGTTGATGGCTGGCCCTCACCGGTCGGTACGACATCGCTCGCCCCTGCTCATCTCCGCAGTGGCTTCAAACTGAGGGGTAGCACCGGTTCCGTGATGCCCGGTGACCTTGGTGCGAGCCCTGTGCCTGCCCCTCGCTCCTCAGTGGTCCCAGTGTTTGGCACTCACTGTTCACCGGCTGGGGTGAGGCAGTGCAGTCGGACCCCCACCCATCACGCTAGGCAGCCGTTTTGAGGGCAACCGCACCTACGCCTCACTCCTTTGTGGCCTCGGTCAGGCAGTGCTCGGCCCCGTCGCTACCCCGTGGCCGGCCCTTGCAACTTTTGCGTGGCGGCTCCACCCAGGAGTTGTGGATGACCGTGCCCCCCGGTGCAGGGTCCACCTGCAGTGCCGACACCACCCGCTTCTTCAGCTTGCTGCGCAGCACGTTGCGCAGCTTCTGGCGTGTGAAGGCATACAGGAGAGGGTGGAAGATGGTGGTGCCGTAGGCCATGGCCAGGAAGCAGACGCGCAGCTTGCCCAGCAAGGGGCTGGGCCCGAGGCACAGGATGATCAGGTTGGCGATGGACAGGGGTGCCCAGCACAGGAGGAATGTGGAGATGATGAGCAAGGACATGCGGAAGACTCGCCGTTGGCGCTCCCTCCGGTCACGGTGGCGCTTCACTGCCCGCCGGAGTGCAATGATCACGGAGACAGAAGCTTGCACCCCTATGGGAGGTGGCGTCGGGAGGGCGGGGACCAGCTGAGAGCGCCGCTTGGCCTCCCCTCCACCTGCCACGCTGCTGCTTGGCTCTGTCGATTTCCGCCGCTTCCTTTTCTTGGTCTTGCGGCGCTGGCTGCGCTTGAAGGTGCTCCCGATGCTGATGTTGAGAGCCTGCAGGATCTTGGCGTAAGTCACCAGCATGACGGCCACCGCAGCGAAGAAAGTGGGGATCTGGATCGCCAGGTGATAGGAGGTGCCCAGCTCAGCGTGGAACTCCTCCGGGCCCACGCAGAGCACTGTGCGGTTTTGCCACGTGCTGGCGTGGCCAAACTCCCCCTCGAGGAACGGCACGAAGAAGACCGCCAAGGACAGCACCCAGACGCCGGCCAGGAGCAGGACGGCCCGGCCCGGGGTGAGCACGCGCTGGGCGGGGCGCACGGAGATGTCGTAGCGGTCCAGGCTGATCACCAGCACGTTGGTGGCGGTGGCCACGCTGCTGAAGGTGATGCAGGCCTCGTGGAAGCAGCACAGCAGGGTGGTGGCCCGGTCGGGCGGCACGAGCAGCACCACCATGGTGAGTGGGGCGCACACCACGCAGATGAGCACGTCCAGCACGTGCAAGTTCATGGTCACCATGTTGCTGACCGAGTCGACCAGGCCCGCCTGCAGGCAGTACAGCACCAGGACGGTCAGGTTGCTGCTCACTCCCAGCACGATTTCCAGCATGAGAAAGCCGGTCAGTGAGACCTGGAAGCCCAGAGGGTAGGGCAGGGTCCAGCTGGGGCCAGGGGTCACCCCGTCGGTCGTCTCCAGAATGGTGTCAAACATGGGACTCTCCATGGCTGAGAGGGGCAGGGGGGTGTGGGCATAGTCCTTGGACAGGGCTGGAGGTCACTGGCAGCTCCCTCACCTGTGGGGAGAGAGAAACCATCAGCTACCACAGCAGCAAGGTTAACCGTCGTGCCAGTGACAACAATCCGGGCCAGCATTTTCACAAGGCACTGAGCAAAGCCCCGCAGTGTCCCCCTCACCCCTTATGGGCTGGCCGTGGGCAGCCAACACTTCAGCTAACCTAGGCAATGTCCAGTAACAGAGCTGAGACTCGCACTTGCAGCTTGGTATACAGACATGCAAAAAGGTGGCGTACAAAAATTAAAAGGTCGAGATTTCTTACTGAACGTTGAAAAGGCGTTTCACTACTATGTGAAAAGTGGTGCATTTCTTCTGCATGTCTTTCCTGATACTTGTCTTTCTATCTCCCTGCCATACAAAAGTGCACTTAGAAAAATAAGCAAGGATGGGCATGTCTTACCTCTGCAAACGCAGATCACAAGTCCACCTTCCAGAGAAGGGGCCTGTGAGGAGTGCATTGGATAATTGACACATGCAGAAGGGAAGGATTGGAGAAACAGGGAGCCCCAAGGAGTGCTTGGGAACAACCCCTCCCTAAAAGCAGCTGATGCCTTCCAAAGCACTTCTGGTGCATATTCGAATGTGTCCTCCATGACCATGATGGCAAAGATTTTCAGGAATTGAAATTCTATGCACACCCCTTAATAAAGCCTGAAATGACACTTGGAGGAAGAAGTGAGAGACAGAAAACCAAATAGCCTGCAGGGGAATGAGCAGATGTGTGGATTGTCGCCTGGCCTGGGGAGGAAAAAACAGTCCACCCTGGGAAGTGTGTGTGTGTGTGTGTGAGAGAGGGAGAGGGAGTGAGGGGGGAGGGGGAGCAGCCCCTGTATGTCAGCTGCAGCAGTGACATTATTCAGCAGGAGCGGATACCTAACTAGTTCCCATCCACCCAAACCCTCACAAATCAGGAAATGTGACACTGGTAGAGAAGACCAGTCCCTGCTTTTCTAAGGAGCTCAATAATCAACCCACTCAGGGCCATCAGTATTTAAATCCCAGGGGCTGTTTCTTCTAGGTGAATGCAGTTGGGGTTGGGAAATTAAGGAATTTCAGTAGAGTCCAGGCAGAAGTGGGCATGCTTAACCCTTCCCTGCCTGCGTTAGCGCTTCAACTCTCCTTTCTGCAGTCTCTCCCTCTGGGATGCCAGATCTGTTTGTCCTTGCAAACAGCTTTCCATAGGAAGTGGTAGAAAGCTGCCTGAGAGGATGGTGTTGCAGAAGAAAAAAGCTGGAAGGGAGAGGGTTAAGCACCCCCCCCACACACACACACACCTGCCTGCTGCTGCTTTGCTGAAAATTGCATCCTCTGGAAGCTAGAAGGGGGCGGGTAATTTCAAGTGGTCTGAGATATACTTTGGACCTTTCCTCCCCATGGGCCACCCTCCTGCTGATGCCATGCCATCAAATTCAGCAGTGGCAAAAATCAACAGTTTTGGCTGAAACTAAATCCAGCAGCAAATGGTAAAATTTAGGCTGTTTTCCAGTTTAAGTGGCCAGAATCCTTTTGCTCTTACCATCATGAATTTCAGCAGAATTCCTGCAGGGATTGTGGGGTTGCAGGCACCCTAGGAGAAGCAGTAACTGCATTTTAAATACATACATTTGCTGCTTTTGTATAGTTTGCCTCTGAGAAAACCGGGACGAGTAAGAAGATAAAATGAACAGTTGGATAACATCTGCCATGTATAAAGAAAAAACAAGATGAGTCTCCCCACAATTCCTAGTTACAAATGGATGCGTGGTTTTGCCTAACACATTGTGTGACTATCGACCGGTGCTGCTCCAGAAGGTGGAGGAAAAGGAAAACGTACAACACAAGGGAAAAATTAGCACAAACTGAGGGAGATGCCAACCAACACCAGCTCATTCTGGCAATTTTAGGATGAACACAAGCCAAATAATCCCAATCAAAATTGCAGACGTCCAAGAAAGGAAGACTAGAGTTAAACAGTTCCAATTAAAAAGGAAGAAAAACAATAACAGATTAATTCATCTTTGAAATGGCACCCAAGATGGCTCACCAGAAAAAGAATCTATACTTGAAAATACAAAATACGTCCTGATGTCATGACTCTGGAAGAACGAAGGAACGTGGGAAGCAGTTTGGCTTGGGCTCTGGAAGACTGGTAGGTCATAAATTCGTCAGTCACAGAACTGGGGCTCTGCGCTTGGGTACCATCAGGGGGCTTTTTTTACCTTTCTGTGGTCAACCTCAGAATCTACTCCTTTCTCTACTGATAAAGCCACCCTCCTACATATATTTTTCTTAATGCACCAAGCTGCTTCTTCTGGATGAATTTGGACCACTCATTCAGTCTGCTTAATCTACTTTACTGGGTTGTTGTGAGAATAAAAAAGTGGATAATTTTGTATGGATTCCTCCCTGGGGATCAAAAATAAAATAAAAATAAGCCCTGCTGCCACCCCCTGCTTTTTGTTCTCTAGGGTGTTGCCACCATCTAGTTCCAGCTCCAGTTCCATACAACCCTGTCATTTTGAGAAGGTTGGGGGAGTAAAAATTAAAATGAATTGTGGAACCTGGGCGGGATCCTCTGAGACATTCCTTTAAATCTAGCACTGATGTTTTGTTACTCCTATCTTTAATCTAGAGTAGGTCCAGGCCTCCAACCTGGATCTTAAAAGTACTCTACTATTTCCCATGCTAATTTCCAGACCCAAACTGGACCCCCCTGTGCCTACTCTAGAATAAAAAGTGCGGGGGGGGGGGACACAGATTAAGTGGAATGTCTCTTTTGGCCCTTCGTCATTCACTTGTTAGACCAGTCCTATCCCACCCACCTCTGGGGCTGTCTCAAATGGGAGCTTCTGCAGGATGGTCTTAAGCATCTTACCTTTTGTGCTACCTGTACTCTGCTTCTCTGCAGCCCAGGTAGGCCTTTGTGCTCTGAGGAGGGCCTCCAGAGAAAAGGTCCAGGCGGTAGCATGCTCTGCTAACTTATGCACATCTTGCACCACAGCTTTGACTGTGGGGTGGTATAGAAATGAAATCATCAACAACTGCTGCTGCTGCTGCTGCTACTCCCAGTCTTGATTTTTGCAATGTGCTCTACACAGAGCTACCCTTGTGCCTACTCCAGAAACTGCAACTAGTATAAACTGTGACAACCAGGTTGGTGTCTGGGACATCATGGAGAGACCACATATCACCAATATTAATGTCTCTGCACTGGCTGCCAAAACGTTTCCAGATGCAATACAAGGTGTTGGTAATTAGCTTTAAAGCCCTTCATGGCTCTGGTCCAAAATACCTTCAGGAGAGCCTTTGGCCATACATTCTGCCTCACCAACTACTGCCCTCTGGGGATGGTCTTCTGAAGTTTGCCTGTCTAATGTTAATGCCAACTACCCAGAGGACTTTCTCAGCGGTTGCCCCTAAACTGTGGAATGGCCTGCCAGGAAAGATGCGTCTGATATCCCAGACTGCCACCTTTATGGGGGAATTAAAGACATATCTCTTCTGACAGGCCTTCCCATATTACTTCCAAGATTAGTTTTAGGTTTGGTTTTAATCATAATTTTAATTATTATTGGTTTTAATCTCTTGTAAACTGTCCAGAGCCTATGGGAATGGGGCGATATATTTAAAAAAACAGCATTTGGCTGAATTTACTGTTGCCTTCAGACTCTGGCTTGATGATGAAGGTCAGCCACAGTGTGGCAGCCCTTAGGAAGGCCTGTCAGCAGGCCGGGCTCAAGAAGTTTTGTGCTGCCTGAGGCAGAGCGGCAAGTGGCCATGTCATTCTGGCACCTTTGGCAGGGAGCCCCACTTCGCCCCATTCCAGGCATCAAGCATGCAATTAAAACACATTACAGAACTGTCCTGGCCTTTCAACTGCCTACCCAAAATCCACTGGCTGAGGTAGGTATCATGTTCTGCCTCAGAGCAGGGCCTGCCCTGAATCTGAGCAACTTGCCTCATGCTGTCTTGCAGTCTGGACTGGGGAAGGGGGCAAGGGGACGATCACCACCCCCAGCAAGCAATGTAATTTTCCCCCTGCAGCTGCTGTGTGCAAGTTGCTGGCTGCAGAGATGATGGCCCCACTTTATCTGGGCCTGCAGTCTGGATCTTGATTTGGGCTCACTTTGCACATCAGTCCTGCTTGTGGCACTCTCATTCCCCTTGGAACTTGACCTTACACTTCTTGGCCTACGCATTTGCTTCTTGCAGAAACAGATGCTCAGCCACCTTTCCATTCCTGTCTGGGGTCACAACTCTTGCCGAGGCTTCACTGGAGCTGGTTCCACATCTCACTATGTGTGATATCCCATTAAACCACTGCCTGGTACGTATCATAATAGTCTTTTTGGACTTTATGGATCTTTCAGGTGGGACACTTGTGAGCCAAACAAAATGAGATGTTAAACATGTCTTTGCATTTAGCATGCATGTTTGCAAATATAAAAAGCTGCTGGGGGTTCAGGGAGAATTGTGTAAGATCAGGACTGAGATATATAGGAAAAAGGGCCTAACCCTTCCCCTGCCACAGTGCCGATTAGAGGTTGGTATTTGCAAGGAGATTAAAGCTGCTGGTGTAATGGCAACTGAAAGCTTTCCTTTCTGTGCAAATATCATGGGGAAATTTTGGCTGGGAAAGAAATAAATCTCCTGCCCCTGCACATCCCAATCCCAAGCCTGCTCCATCCCCCTTGCAACAATTTGTGATTTAAACCTCTGTGCATCAAGTAAGAAACCCACATTGGAAGTCCTGTCCTTCATTGTATTTGAAGAGTCAGTGGCCCTGCCTTTGCAATGCCTGGATTGCCTATGGCCACACTCTGCAAGCAGAGCTGCTCAGACCAAGTGCTTGCAAGCTTCGGACGATGCAGAAAGCAGCTGCCAGCCTCCTTTAAGGCAACAGGCACACAGGACATTTGGATTCCACAGTATGTGCTGGCTGCTGGTAGGCTTCCAAATATAGTTCCAGATGTGATAACAACCTACAAAAACCTGAATGATTTGGTTATGAGAGCCAAG